AGTGTTTGCTTTAGCATGTGCAAGGCCCTGGGTTCAACCCCCAGTACTAGGGGAGGAAAACACACACACACACACACACACACACACACACACACATCCTTTGTTATACTTTTATATTTACCTATGTAGTTACCTTTACTTTATTTCTTCAGGTGGTTCATATGGATTCATTTTTTATGGGACAGATCTGTTACACCGAGATCTTACCGGTGTTTAGTTACCCTGCCATGTCCTCATTCAATGTCAAGAGCTATGTGTGTGTGTCCATGTGCCCGTGCTTTCAGGAGACTTCATCTCTTACACTGGCTGTTGTGATTATGTTGTGTCTAGGTGTGATCTCTTTTAAGTTGATCCTGGTTGGAGTGGGTTTTTTTTTTTTTTCCCCCCGTGGTGCTGGGGATTGAACCCAGGGCCTTGTGTGCAAGTGAGGCAAGCACTCTACTGACTGAGCTATATCCTCAGCCCCATAAATTTTGGGAAATTTTGGTCATTATTTACTCAAGTTTTCTAACCCTTTCTGTCATTCCTTTAGAGTCCCCCTATGAGTGTCTGGTATCTCGATGGTGTACCTCAGGTCTCTCACAACCATTTCTGTTCATTTTTTTTTTCATTCCTTTTTCTTTGTGCCCCTCAGACTGGATAATCTCAATGATTTAACCTTTGAGTTTGCTGATTCTTTCTCACTCAAATCTGCTGTTGAGCTTCCCTAGTGAATAGTTCATTTCATTTATTGAACATTTCAATTTTGGACTTTTTATCTGGTTCTTTTTTTTAAAAATATTTTATTTTTTTTTAGTTTTCGGTGGACACAACATCTTTGTTGGTATGTGGTGCTGAGGATCGAACCCGGGCCGCATGCATGCCAGGCGAGCGCGCTACCGCTTGAGCCACATCCCCAGCCCCATGGTTCTTTTTTATAATGGAAGTTTATTGATATTTTTCTGTTGATGAGACAGACATACATTGTCCTTACACATTCCCTCAGTTCTTGAGGTGTGGTTTCCTTTAATTCTTAGAGCATGCTTAAAATAACTGAAAAAAAGTATTTGTCTACTAAGCTCAGTGTGGGGTTTCCTCTAAGATGGTTGGTATTGATTGCCTTCTTCCCGCTGCATTTGGGCATGCTTTATTTTCATTACATGTCTATAAATTTTTGTTGAAATTGAACATTTAAAATAATATAATATGGGGCTGGGGTATGGCTCAAGTGGTAGCGCGCTCACCTAGCATGTGTGAGGCACTGGGTTTGATTCTCAGCAGCACCACATAAAAAAAATAAATAAAGATATGTGTCCACCTAAAACTAAAAAATAAATATTAAAAAAAATAAACAAATAAAATAATATAATTTTTTGGCTTGGGGTTGTGGCTCAGAGGTAGAGCGCTGTATGTGTGAGGCTCTGGGTTCGATCCTTAGTACCACATAAAAATAAAATAAAAGATATGTGTCCACCTAAAACTAAAAAATAAATATTAAAAAAAATAAACAAATAAAATAATATAATTTTTTGGCTTGGGGTTGTGGCTCAGAGGTAAAGCACTTACCTAGCATGTGTGAGGCACTGGGTTGAATCCTCAGCATTGCATAAAAAACAAAATAAAGTTATTGTGTCCACCTATAACTAAAAAGTAAATATTTAAAAAAATATATAATGTGGGCTGGGATTGTGGCTCACAGTAGAGCGCTCTCCTGGCATGTGCGAGGTGATGGGTTCGATTCTCAGCACCACATAAAAATAAATAAAATGAAGGCATGTGTCCAACAACAACTAAAAAAAAAAAAAAAAGTAAAATATCGATCCATTGACAATTAAAAAAAAAATGTGGCAACTCTGGAAACCAGATTTCCCCCTCCTTATGGTGTTGTTACTGTTTGCTGTTATTTATTTGTTTAATGAATTTTCTGAACTAATTCTATAAAGTCTTGAGTATTATTCTCCTAGAGTTGCTGTAACAAAGTACCCACAATCTGTGTGGCTTAAAACCAGAAAGTTATTGTCTCACACTTCTGGAGGATCCAGGTGTTGGCAGGGCTGTGGCCCCTCTGATCCTGAAGCGGGGATCCTTCTTGGCTCACTCTGGCTTCCAGGGCTTTCCTTGGTGTGTCTTGGCTTGTAGACTCAGCCATCCACGTCTGCGAGTCCGCCTGCCTCTCACCTGGCGCTGCAGGGTGCCTCTGTGGCTTACACAGGCTCCAGCTTCATCAAATTAAGGGCCTGCCCTGCTTCAGCATGACCCCATTGAGCTCCGTTATATCAGTAAGTGTACCTTGGATTGCTGCAAGTCTTAGGCTAATTTCTGGAATAGCCAAGTCTTTCATTAATTTCTGAAATCCTGAGGTAGAGGATTCTGGCCATTTTTACCAGTGTCCTCATTGCATTAGTGGAGGAGTGGGTTTTGGAGGCCCTTCCGCTGCCATACTGATGTCACCWGCCTTTTATTTGTGAAGCTTTTCAGAGGTAGCATTTATATACCATGCAGTTATCTCATTTACAGTACCCAGTACAGTGGGTTTGGTATACTCAGTATGCTTTGTATATTCAGAGTTGTACAACCATCACCATGATCAATTTTAGAGCTTTTTTTTTTTTTTTTTTTTAATCATCCTGGAAAGAAAGCACTTGAGTAGATATCACCACTCCTCCCACCTTCCCTCCCAGCCTGAGCTAACAGTAGTCTACTTTCATTTGCATAGATTCGCCTTTTCTGGATGTTTCACATTGATATAATCATCCTGTACATGACTTTAAAGACTGCTTCCTTCATTTGGCATCACGTTGCTAAGGCTCATTTATGCTGCAGTGTGAATCTGTGCTCCGTTCTTGTTTAGGGCTGAGGAACATTCCATTGTGTGCACAGGCCACATTGTCTTTATTCCTTGATGAGCATTTTGTTTTTACCACCTTCTGGCCATTCTGAATAGTGTTCCTATGGACACTTGTGTGTAGTCTTTTGACTGGACGTGAATGTACTTCTTTTTCTTGGGCAGTTACTTAGGAGTGGGATAGCTGGATCACATGGTAGCTCTGTGGCTAACATTCTGAGGACCTGCTGGACTGTTTTTATTTAATTTTGAAATTTTTATTAGGTCCTGGACTGTTTTTGAAGGCTATGGCACCATTTCCACATCTGCCCCAGGTGTGAGGGGTTCCCTTAATATTCACTTAATATTTTCCTCCTCCTCCACATGTACTCAAACATAGCAAACTTGGATACACGAGCACACACATACACACATGTACACTCAAATACACTCATACCCATATGCACACACTGTAATATACACATGTCCACATACACTGATATAAATACACACTAATATTCATACACACTCACAGTACAAATTCATGCACATATGGTCACTGGCATATACACTCATATGTACACACATAAATTCAGACACACATACTCATGTACTCACGCACATACCAGTGCATGTGTTCAACAAGCTGTGTGCACATGCTGCTCTGCTGTGGTATCATCATCACACTGTGAGCTGATAGTGAGCTGAGGTTGTGGCTCAGTGGCAGAGTGCTTGCCTAGCACACGTGAGGTTTGATCCACAGCACTGCATACAAATAAATAAAGATCCAAAAAGATAGAGACTCACCATGTAAATCAGCTGCTGACCTTCTCCCAAGCCTTTCTGGTCATGTCGACCCTGGGCTAGGGACCCCTGCTTGGAGGATTGCTGCTTTAGATGAAGATTCTGTGGTGTCTTTGTGAGGCCTTTAGGGGTTCTCAAGTCAACCTTACAGCCTTAGTTTTTCTTCTTAAGCATTAAAGGCAATTAAGGCAGCCACATGTTATTTTAACTAATTAATTAATTAATATATTTTTGTGGTTCTGGGGATGGAATTTAGCGCTTTGGGCATGCTAGGCCAGTGCACTACCCCTGGGCCACACACCCAGCCCAAGGCAACCACCTTTTAAATCCTAAAATGCTGAGTAATTTCACAGAGGAAATTAATCCAGTCCCCAGTTTTGTTTTAGAACATAACCAGCATCCTGCACTAAGAGTTGCTTTCAAAAGTCAGTCATATGGGCTGAGTGCTGTGATGCACGTCTGTAATCCCAGCTGTTCAGGAGGCTGAGGCAGGAAGATTGCAARTTCAAGGTCAGCCTGGGCAATTTAGTGAGACCTGTCTCAAAATAAAAACTAAAAAGTTCAGTGCTCACTTGCCTGGCATGTTTGAGGCCCCTGGGCTCAGTCCCTGGTCTCCAGTATCCCCCTGCCCCCCCAAAAAGAAATGAGTCATGAAGTGATACCACCTTGGAGTGGACAGTTCTACTGGAGCAAGACCGTCCCCCTATTATACCATCTCTTTATTTATTTGAACTGAAAAGAACTTGAAAGTCAAACTGACTTTTAGTGTGATTTCCTCATGTGTTTGTTTTGTTACAGGCTAGCAGGCATAACATCTCTCTGAATTGTGTTTTCCTGCTTTGTGAATAATGTGTTTGTGATTCTTGTCCCTAAGGATGCTGAAGTTTTAGGGCTAATTAGTTCTTTGGTTTGTAGGATCAAGAAACCTAGCAATGAGCTAGCATGTAGTAGTCCCCCCAGCCTCTGCAAATTAATGTGGTTATTTGGCCTGTGAAGATATTGTGCCAATTGTAGGGACACTAGATCATGTAGAAGTCACACACTGGTTTCACTTGTTTGAACCCCCTCTCGGCTCTAGGGAAGGACTCTTTTCACACATAATTTGTAAATATTTCACTGTTTTCTGAGCCCAAGTTGAAGACTTGATTTGACTGATCATAGAAATGTGTAATTTGCTGGTTCACAAACTGGTGAAGCCTCTCAGGTAGTGATTATTGGGGGCAGAAGCACATGCCCCTCAGGACCAACTCTGTAGCACGAAGAATGGGGGTAACCAGCGTGGGGGTGGTTCTGTCTTTGTGGGTAGAGTCCACGTGCTGAGCCAGCAGAGGGTGCAGGAGACGCCACTCTCTGAGCAGCCCTCTTTACCTGGCATTTGCCTTTTTTCCTGTAGGCTCACCAGTACCCCAGGTCACTGATCGAAGGGACCCAGACCCCAGTCGAATGCAGATGCCACAGGGGAACCCGCTGCTGCTGTCCTATACCCTGCAGGAGTTGCTGGCCAGGGACACTGTGCAGGTGGAACTCATCCCGGAGAAGAAGGGCCTCTTCCTGAAGCATGTGGAGTATGAGGTTTCCAGCCAGGTAACTGCAAATCACGTGTGTGACTGTGTGGACAAGGGGATGGAGAACTAGGGATAGCATCAGGCCAGGAGATGGGGAAGGGAGAGAGTGTGGTCTAAAACTTGTGGGCTCCGTCAAGCCTCTGAGCAGTCTTGTGCCGGTTGCTGGGTCTGCTCCACTCCTGCCTGGTCCCGCCTCACCATCTCTGTGTTCTCGAATCCTGCTTCTTAGGAATCTCTTACAGACAGTCTGCGGAGCACACACCCTGGACAGAAGTGGGTTTGGTGGTAGTTTTGTCATGGATCCCCTGAGGATTCGGAAGTCAGCCCCGTAGAGCGTAGACTCCAAATAGTGACTGCGGTGTGCGGGAATGATGGGTCTGTGTCCAGCTAATCACCTGTAGTAACACTGCCCCTCTGCTGTGGGCACCGGGTGCCTGAGTTCATCAGACATGGGTTTGGCAGCAGTCTTGGCACCCGAGTGTCAAGGTCTTTTTGTCCCTTTGTTCATTGTCTTGCTCAGTTAGGGTAGAGTTGGGGGTTTACTCATTGTCCTGGGATTCAGTAGTGTTGATAACACGTCTTTGGGAGCAGTGAGTCCCTAGTGTGGGGGGATTTGCTAGGACAGGGCAGGCCTGTGCTCCCGGGGAGAGGGTGGCTGGCACTGCCAAGGCTCCTCTGAACAGTCCACTGAATGTTTTGCCCTAGGAGAGAGGTGAGCTCTGGGACCCAGTGGGCTAATGCCTGTCACGCTGCCTGCTGTTCTGCACAGTCAAGAACCGCCGGGTTCTGTTTCAGTGTTTGAAGCCTGTGACTGGCTGCTCTGAAGTCCCAGTGCTGCTGCTGAGGGGGAAGGTAGACGGCAGAGTGGCAGGGACTCCTCCCGGGGACCACTTCAAGGACAGCATGGCTCTGGCATTGCTTAGGTCCTTGCCTTCTCCCACAGTCACAGGGCTGAGAGCCGACTGGCAGGACGCCCTGGAAGAAGCAGCTTGTCCTGGGCCCGGCAGCCTGGGAGCAGGTGCTGCTCCAGTGAGCCGGCTGCTGGCCTCCATTTCCTCTTGAACTGCCTCCCATGAGCGTGGGTAGGAAGAGGCTGCTTTGCCCAGCTCGCCCAAGTGTGGGGATGGGAAGATTTCTGTAGGTTGTCTTCAGGGCAGAGGGGGGAGTTGAGGGGAGTGATGACTGTCATGGCTTCCCATTTTACCTGAGCCCCAATCCCTTTTCTTCGCAGCGCTTCAAGTCCTCTGTGTACAGACGGTACAATGACTTTGTGGTCTTCCACGAAATGTTGCTGCACAAGTTCCCGTACCGCATGGTGCCAGCCCTCCCTCCCAAGAGAGTGCTGGGAGGTAACACCGGGCATGTGGAGGCCCAGGGTGGTGGGAGTGAGCCCACTCACAGGATGGCTCAGTGTAGATTGTAGTCCCGCAGKCTGCTCCTGCCTCAAGGTCCAGGAGGGGCTGACAGCAGGACCATACTGCATGTGAGCCCCCAGGCTGTCCCAGGCTCATAGCTATTGGCCAAGACCCTGGGTTAAGTCCCCAGCACCACACTCACACACACACATACACACACACACACACACACACACACACACACACACAAAACAAAACAAAACAAAAATATCCTAACCAGAGTCAATGCTGTCACTGAGCCCAGGTCTGGTACAGGGAGGGTGATTGGCACACAGCACCCTTGGCATATTGCAGCCTTTGGCTGGATGACTGACACAAAGGGAACGCCCTCATGGTGCACATGTAAAAGAGGGGACCCTGGGTCTCCTCTTGAAGCTCAGGGCCGGGACTTCAGAGTTCCTGAATGGTGATGCGGAGCACTGTTTGCTCCAGCAGTTGGATTCTCCTGCTTTGCAAACCCCTGAGGGCCTGAGAGTGGGTGCCAAGGCAGCACTGGATGAGGTCAGAAGCAGATCTAAGGTGGAAAGTTTGCTCTGCATTTTAGAGGACAGAAGTCAGTAGTTGGCTGCACCTGAAGATTGCCTCGGGCTAGGTAGGAGGTCGCAGATAACCTGCTGGCCAAGTCCTTCTAGATTGGCTGTTTCTTGTAGATTTCCAGAATACAGGGATCTGCCCCTTGGTATTCCTGGAGCTCACTGATAGTTTTTCCCACAACCTGATAGTTTTTCCCACAACCCTTTTCTCAAAATTTGTATAAAACTTGATGGGTAGGTGAGTGCCTAGAGCCAACCAGTCTATAGTCTGACATTTTCCAACCATCCCACAGCAGCAGTGTGCTTGAGTGGAGAAGAGTTTAAGCATCATGCAGTGGTTCAGCTCCCACTGTTCTCAAGTCTCTTAAAATGGACATGAGAGACTTGGGAGGCTGAGGACATGAGAAACTGGGTGTGGTGGCACACGCCTGTAATCCCAGAGGCTTGGGAGGCTGAGGCAGGCAGCCTTTGCAAAAAAGCGAGGTGCTAAACAACTCACTGAGATTCTTTCTCTAAATAAAGTACAAAATAGGGCTGGGGATGTGGCTCAGTGGGCAGGTGCCCCCCGAGTTCAATCCCCAGTACCCAAAACAAACAAGCAAAAAAGGACATGAATACCTTTGTCTCTCATGGCCTCCCAGTAGCTCAGTGCCTGATAACGTGTTCTGGCCCTTTCTACACACTGTGCAACAGACTGTGCTTCTCATATTGGGGGTATAAGGATGCCAAGGGCAGGTGAGACCAGCAGATATACTGGGATGCTAGCATCCAGCATCAGAGCTGGTTAAGTGCAGCCAGGGTTTAGGACTTGAAAGCTGCACGTGGACACATGCTCACATGAAGGGCATGTCAGGGGTGGGCCTGTAAATAACAAGTGAAAGGCCATCTAGATGTCTCATTGTCTTGAGTAAGGGTGGAGGGGGACTCATCTCAATGTATTTTCAATGACTTTAAAGACCGTTTCTATTTGTGGTCAGATTTAAATATCCTTAACACCTTGATATATGCTTGCTTTTTTCCCTTGAAGTGAAAATACTTTCTCAAATGAAAGTAGTTAATGATTGCATCTGTCACAGAGTGAACTGTAAGTGATGTGAGCAGGAACACTGAGCTGCATTGATTTGTGGGCATTGCAGAACCCCTCTGTTCACAAGAGAAGTGCCAGAGAGGGACTTGAGAAGATGCCTTCAATGTAGATGATCAAAGTGAGGAATCAGACTTGGTTCCCAAAAGCCAGGTGCAGTTCCAACTGTGGTCCCATCTTGCCTGTGGTCCCAGCTGCTCATGAGCCCAGGAGTTTGAGACCAGCCTGGGTAACGTAATAAGGCCTGTCTCAAAAAAAAAAAAAAAAAAAAAAAAAGCTGAGAGCTGGTTCCCAGTAGTCTCGATCAGAACCTGTTGATCTTAGTTTTCCCTGGCATTTCTGAACCTAGGTGGGTGTGTGGGGGCATGGAGGTGGGGCTCTGGGGCTCCTTTGCAGCCCTTGGGGTCAGCTGTTGTCCTGTGGACCTGCCTGTTGCCCTTGGTCGGCCATGTGGCTGCTCTGACCCTCTGTTGAGATGCTTGGGAACCTGCTCAGTGTGGCTGTTGGTGGTTGCTGACTGTGTGGTGACCTTGTGTTTCTTTAGCGGACAGGGAATTCATCGAGGGACGAAGGAGGGCCCTGAAGCGCTTCATTAACTTGGTGGCTCGTCACCCCCCCTTCTCTGAGGACACCATCCTCAAGCTCTTCCTTTCGTTTAGCGGCTCAGTAAGTGTGTCCTCAAGGGTCCTGGCGTGGGCTGGTTCTGCAGTTTCTAAAGGCTTATTTTCAATTTTGAATCTCTGTCCTCCTATCTCATTTCCTGTGTTCGGGTGCCTGGAAGGCATTCGTTTTATTGTGATTGACAATATCAGACTTCTTTTAAATGATGGGTTGGGTGTAATTTTAAAAGGCATCTTTGGTTTTGACTTTGAAGGGTTTGTATATTGTGTGGAAATCGGGGGTTCTCAGCATGGTTGCTTTGGGGATTTAGAGATAATATACAGAAGCCTGGATGGATGATTTGGAGCATCTGTAGATGTGAATAAATATTCATCCCCATCCCCCAAAAAATATTGGGGCRGGGGGCTCTGATCAAGGACCATGGAGAAATAAGCCTAGTGTCCTCAGTAGAGCCACAGGGTCCATCCACCTCTGGAAACGGTGTCTTTGTGTACATCCCTGTCAGGAATAGCAGCTGTTTCTTTATCCAAGTTGCTGTCACTTTGTCTTACAGGAGTTCAGAGYTAGAACATGGCTCCTGTGTCCAGTGGAGCAGGAAGGGGCTCATAGCCCTTCCAGAGCAAGGAGTGTTCTATGATCCATCTTCCTCCTATCCCTCAGAAAGCGAAGTGCCCAGGTTCTCCTTACAGGGAAGCCTCTTCATGAATGGGCACTTGGGGGCCCTTCACCTCCTGCTGTTAATCTGCTGCAGGGCAGGGGACATGGGACACAGGAGTAGTCAGCCCAAGGTTTTTTTGTTTTTGTTTTTGGGTACTGGGGATTGAACTCAGGAGCACTCAAATGCTGAGCCACATCCCCAGCAATTTTTATATTTTATTTAGACATTGTCTTGGTGAGTTGCTTAGCGCCTCACCATTGCTGAGGCTGACTTTGAACTYGCAATCCTCCTGCCTCAGCCTCCTGAGCCGCTGGGATTACAGGTTTGCGCCACCAGGCTCAGCTTCAAGTTTTACTTTCTCTTGCTTTTACTTCCCTGGATGGTAGGAGAGGCCACTAACCTCCTCAGGAAGGCTGCAGGCATTCACTGGTGACCCTGGTGACACTGTGACCATAGCAGATGGTCAACAGGAACTCTTGCCTCTGCCTCAGCAGAGTGTGTGGCCTGTCTTTTGAGTCCTTAGGGTTGGGGCAGAGGTCTTGTTTGCCGGCAGAGGGATGTGGCAGGCTGAAAACTGCCTGTGCTCCGGGCAGCCCCGGGAGGGGGGACTTAGGGGGTGACCTCCATCCTGGAGGTACACTTCTTTGTCTCTTGCTTTTATGCAGATGGGGTGTTTGTTCTTTGTGGCCTCTCTAGACCCCAGTGTTCTTTTTTAGTAAAAAGAGAAGGGGGCAGGTGACTCGAGGCCTCTCTGCAACCCTAGGATTCCTCACCTCTAACGGCTGTGGATTAGCTTCATCCTGTACTTCCTGGGTGGCTCCTTATTTTGAGACTTGGCTTTGCCTCTGTTCTGAAGGCCTCTGTTCCGAGAGTGGGCTTGAGCAGAGTGCGGCCTGTCTTCTGCCCACCAACTGCTCCAGGGCCTGACTCCCTGGGCCTGAGGGTCTCTCAGGAGGAAGAAACCTCAGCTTCCTTCTGCTGCTCCATTTGGAACCTAGAGGGTCTAACGTCTTGGGGGTTAGGGTATCCCTAGTCCCCTGTTTCTGGAGAGGAACTTTGCTTGGTTAGGCTCTCATCCTTAAGCCAGACTTCCTAGAGTTTAAATTCAATGAAAGAAAATCTGAGGCAGGGGCGGAGGTTCTGGGATGCTGAGGGAGGCCAACGTGGAAGCCGACTTGCTCAGGAGAGACCACTGACGAGGGCGGCTCTCGTGGCAGCCTTGTGCCGATGGGGAGGTGCAGCTGTCTCTTTCCTCTTGCAGGATGTACAGAACAAGCTGAAGGAAGCGGCCCAGTGTGTTGGAGATGAGTTTATGAACTGTAAGCTGGCTACTAGGGCCAAGGTAGTTTTCTGATTTTGAATATTTATTTCCCTTTTTGCTAGAGAAACAGTCATCTTAACATGTAATGATACTCGTGCCACCTCTGCTGTGTGCCGGGGTCCCGCTAGGCCATTATATGTTCTCATTGTACCTTCTTTTGGCTGTTCTGTGATGGGGTTCTGCCTGCCTTATGGGTGAGGCCGCAGCCTCTGAGCAGTGGAGTCACAGTCTCTTTCTCCTCGCCGTCAGGACTTCCTTCCCTCTGACATCCAGACTCAGTTTGCTGTGAGCAGGGAGCTGATTCGGAACATCTACAATAGCTTCTACAAGCTGCGAGACAGGGCGGAGAGGATTGCCTCGAGGGCCATCGACAATGCTGCTGATCTTCTCATATTTGGGAAGGAATTGAGGCAGGTGGCCTTCCTCAGGGTCTGTGGGGAAGTCAGGTGGGGAGAGTCTTCAGAGGGTGGTGGGCTCAGGGCAGACTGTGTTTCCTGTGCTAACTGCCACTCTGACCTGTTTTACTGCAGAGGGGAAGAAAGTAGGGCAGGCAAATGTGGGGGATCATGTTTAGGAGAATAGAGATGGGACCTTCAGCCAGGGCACTGTGGATGCCAAATGCCCCTGTGTACACCGCAGGCTTGCCAGCTTCCTAGACGTCAGCCCACTGGCCTTAGGAAGTGGCTGGCTGCACTTCCTCCACTCCATAGGAATGGCACACAGACTGCCTGGGTTCTTGTTGGGAAGAGAAGTCCCTCACGAGGTCTGAGTGGGGCTGAGATCCCACCTTCTTTATTGCCTTACAGTGTCTCCATGGGCCCCTCCAGGAGCATGGGTCTGAGTGGGACACAAAGGCCAGTGTCTCCTGTCTTATGTGTTTTGCTTTCCACAGTGCTTTAGGGTCTGACACGACCCCCCTGCCCTCCTGGGCTGCTCTTCACCTCAGCACCTGGGGCTCCCTGAAGCAGGCCCTGAAGGGCCTCTCTGTGGAGTTCGCCCTGCTTGCAGACAAAGCTGTGCAGCAGGTGAGTGCACTGGCTCTCCACGCACCTGTCCCAGGGCGTTCTGTGCCCTGTGGGCGTGCAGGGCTACCTCAGCCCAGCTTCAAAGGGCCGACTTCCACTGGGGGAACAGCTGTTTCTGGTTACTGCCTGTCCCCATCTCTTGTGGGTGGCTCCCCACCAGTGGTTTGTTCTTTGGAGAGGGCTACCAGTGACAGAAACAAGTTGGGTTCCGATCTCTTGAGCATCGACTCTGCTGAGATTAGAAGAGGGTGTCTGCTCTTGCAGGCATAATTAGGTGTCGGAGCTGGCTTCTGGGTGGGCCAGATAGTTCTGATTGTGCTGAGTCAGCTAGAATTTGACAGAGTAACTCAACTCAGATTAATTCTCAGAATAGTAACTAAGCTCCCAGCACCCTGAGAGACTCCCTCCTTCCACCCTGCCGCTCACTTAACTTCAGAAAGTGCTTCTGCTGTGTGAGCAGGAGCTGTTTTTAGAAATCTGCTGGCCATTGGGGATTAATTTGAAGATACAGTATTCATCATCAAACTTAAAGGTTCACCTGGGGATTTTATGTTATGAAACTGCTGCCTAATTTTGATGGTGAAAGTTGTTCTCTACTTTGTGGGGAAGTAGTCTTGAAGCTCCTGGTGGAATGAGGCATTTTGAGTGAATTAATGTCCTTGCTGAAGCTCCACTCCCTGCCTGACACCTGGAGTTCTTCTGTTGTCTGTGTGGTGGATCTGCCTGCCAGGGACCTGGGGGCTCTTGCTGGAGGTTGGGGTGCTCAGGTGTTCATGATTGTGACAAAGAGGGAATTTGATCTCCCTGCCTAAAACCCTGGGTTTTCTCTTCCACTCCCAGTGTCCGTGTGTTCCCTTTAGAGATAGAATTTTGAGCCGTGTAGATAACCTCTGATCAGCATGGTGCCCGTTCCTTTCTCAGGTCTGTAGACACCCATCCTCCAGGGTGACGAGCACTGAAAATAAGGTCTCAGTGGTGTGGCTAATGGAGAGGTGGGGGGTTTGGGGCCTGTGCCAGGACCATGCGGCTTTTATGTTGGCTTCTGGGCCTTAATTTCCCCACTAATGTAACATAAGGGGTTGAACTAGGGCGTGCAAACAGCTGCTGTCTTTGAATCCATTGCACCTCTCCTCCAAGCTCCTGGGTAAAGCAAAGCCTGTTCTAGTTGCAAGACGCAGGCATTAGGAATCCCTGGGGCTTTGCAGAGCACAGGATGACCTCCAGGTCCCTGGGGAGGGGAAAGGGCCTGGGTGTCCTGAGGGGTGGAAGCCTGTAGTCCGAGGTTCTCCTCAGCTCTGCCGCTCTGTGATATGTCATGAACTTTGGTTTGAAATTTAATATCTGGAGAAGTACTTTTTCTTGAACTTTCCTCCTGGTCTTTGGCATCATGAATTTACTGCTATTAGGTGTAACTGGATCAGGCCACCCACCAGGACTTTGATCTGAAAGGCTAAAGTTCTGTCTCACCCTTGCTCCACAATTAAAGGCCTCTTGGGGATGATTTTTCCTAATTCTATTTTTACTCATACCCAATTTTATTCTATTAAGAGACGTACATATGATGTCCCAGCAAGACTAGTGAGACTGGAGGCAGGGGCTGCTTTCTTCATGGTGATGGTGTGCTCCTCTTGAAGGCATATGCCATGATGGTTTATGGTGTTGTGCACTGAACCCCAAATGGAACTTTCTGCAGATGACACAAGAAGGGAGGAACCTAGAATCCCTTTCCTACTGGACCAGGGCACAGGGCGCCTCTGCCCGGCTGGTGTTTCTTTTCCGTGTCTTGAAATCCCATAAGATGCTTGTTATTTTCTTGGAACTTACTGGGTAGAATCTGCGTTGGCTGCAGGTGTGGGATTGAGAGGCCAGGAACCTTCTGGCTTAGTGGTCCAAGGCTTGGAGGATGGGATGGTGTTCCCAGGGTCCCCTGAAGTGGCTGTCGCTTTCTGCTCCTAGTCCAGTGCTGTTTCCCCAGCCTCCGCCCACCTGCATCACCCCCACACCCAATCCGATGTGCCGCTTCCTCAGCCTGCCACAGCTGCAGTGCTGGAGGCCATAGGAGCATGAAGGTTGTGCTGGACGCCCGTGGGCTGCCCTCGTGTCCCTGCGGAGTGCCGCTACCTGTGTATTCTGGGAGGTCTCTGGGTAGTGATGGGGCTGCTGGTGCTCACATGTGTCCTCAGGATGCTGTGGGCAAGTACAGGAGCTGGGCTTTCCCTGTCATTACCAGGAGCCCATTCCATTAGCAGGGCCACCCATGCCGCTGTGGGCTCAGTGTGCACCTGTCCATAGAGCCCTGAGCTTTCGCCAGCAGGAGCCTCTGTCTGCTCTCCCTCATTCCCTCTCTGGCCTTCAGCATGTGGCCTTTCTCATGAGAATGTCTCTGTTCCCTTATCTCAGCCCAGCTCTCTCCCACGCACGCTTCCTGCAGCAGCAGCTCCTTCCCCTGCCCCCTCCCGGGCCCAGGCCTGTGTTCCTCCCTGTAGTTGAGCTTGGAGGGTGGCYCCTTGTTCCCAGCAGTCTCCTGTGCATACCCTTTTGACACAGTCACCAATAAAACTATTTTCTGCAGTGCTGGGCAGAGCTGCTGGGGTGTACGAGTGTGGGTAAGAGGGGTTCAGAAAGCCAGAGGAAGACTCATTGGTGTTGAATGGCTGGGGCAGAACTGTGGGCTTCAAAGGCGTTTCTGCCTGGACTTAGGGTGCTGTTGTATAGGAAGGGGGGTCTTCTATAGAGTGGGCCGGTGGCTCTGGGAGGGCTAGGGCTGGCTGTAGGCCGCCTGGCTGGGTCCTGTGTTGGTTAACTCACCCCTTGTTTCCTAGGGCAAACAGGAAGAGAATGATGTGGTGGAGAAGTTGAACCTTTTCCTGGATTTGCTTCAGTCCTATAAAGTGAGTCTCAGCCACTCCTTGGTCAGGGATAGCATTTTTCAAAATGATCTTAGGATCTTTCAAGGGTGTGACTCCAAGGGAATGGAAAGAGTCAAGAGCCAGCGCTGTGCAGGGAATGTGGTGGACTTTCCAGAGCTCACTGGAGTTTCCTGGGCTGGTTGGGGCTCCTTGGTCCAAGCACCAGTGGGCTTTCCCTAAGCTGAAGGTGGGAGGAGAAGCCCTGGGAGTGTGTGTGCTTGTGCTCTTTTACGTGTCTGGGGGCCTGGCCCACAAAGGGGAATTCACCCAGGAGTGGGTGGAGATTCTAGGAACTTGGCTTTGGCACAGAGGAGGGAAGCTTTCTAAGTGTGGGAGCATCTGTGATGGGACAGATTGTGATGGAGCACCATGTGGAACCAGAGAAATCCTTCCTACTGAGGAGGCCAAGGAGAGTGGGCCCAGTGCTTATGGGGAATGTTCTAGAAGGGATTCCTCTGTTGAATGGGGTGGTATCTGGTGGCCTCTAAAATCCTGGCACTGATTCTGTCACTTTAATTTCCTGCAAGGTTTCTGATGGGGGTTATTTAGGGTGCTGCTTATTAATGACGTGTGTCTTCCTTGTAGGGCTTTCTGGTCCTCCTACTGTTAGGACACTGGCCCTTTGGAATTGGGTAGTGTTAGCAGTCTGAGGTCCAGAACTGTCCCAGGGCTCTGGATTGTACATCCCCACGTTTAAACTGAGATTCAGCATGTGGGCTTTGGGTTGGGGACCTGGTGGTGGTTTGTGTAGTGGGCCCCTGTGCAAACCTAGTATGCATCAGACTGAATCTGAACAGGGCCTGGCCCCTAAACTGCTCTACTCCTTGACTGTTCCCTCGGCGAGGACAAACAGGAAAACAGGTTCTCTGGAAGGGCCCCGGTAGCTTTCATTGTTAGCCGTTTGCTGCCAGTTTGCATGCCTCAGCCTCCCCGTGTTCTGGACTCTTTCACTGTCCCCTCTTTTTCCTGGTTGTAGGAGGGAGGACTTAAAATTGGCCCTGTGAAAAGTGCTCTAGAATGTCCCTGGGTTCCGAGTTCCTCTGGGTCAGCTGCTGAGGGCCCGTACACAGGTGCCCCTTCTTCCTTGCAGGATCTGTGCGAGCGGCACGAGAAGGGCGTGCTGCACAAGCACCAGCGGGCGCTGCACAAAGACGGCCTGATGAAGAGGCAGGCGGTGAGCAACCGCGAGCCCGAGTCGGTGGAGCAGCTGGAGTCCCGCATCCTGGAGGTAGCTGAGCAGGCTGGCAGGTGGCGGGGCCAGGAGGCAGCCCTGAGGAGCACAAGGTGGCAGCCTTTTACTGTTAGGACACTTTGGTCCCTCTGGCCCCTGGAGCCATCCTCATGAGCTCTTTTTGGTTGGCTGGATGAGCTTGTAGAATGTCAGTGCCCTGAGCTGGGGTGCTGGGGATGCACCCAGAATGATGTGCTTCTTTGTACTTGGTGCTCTGCGTCCTGGCCCTTCATTCCTTGGAGTCTTGCTTCAGTGGTTGCATGGAAGGGGTGGAGACCCTGGGCCCTGGGCAGACACAGTATGTGGGCAGGGGTGCTCCTCTTCCTGGCACCTTCTGGCCAGGTGCGCAGGGAGACTCTTTTCCTTGCAGCAAGAGAACATGATTCAGACCATGGAGCTTCGGAACTACTTCTCCCTGTACTGCCTGCACCAGGAGACACAGCTCATCCACGCCTACCTGCCCCTCACCTCCCACATCCTTGGGGCCTTCGTTAACTCTCAGATCCAAGGGCACAAGGAGGTGAGGCCCTCCCTGCCCCACCCCTACCCCACCCCTGTCCTGGCCAATGCCTTCCTGTTTCCAGCTGCAGCTCCTGCAGCTAGTGACCTTGGGGAATTATTTCGGACAGTCAGTGGAGTTGGGGTATATGTGGAAACATAGTGCTTGTTCAGATTTATTAGTGTCACATGTGGCCAGAATAATTATGAATTTGTTCTCATGGTTCTTAGTGGGGAGAGCAGAGAGAGACCAGAAAGGAACAGTTTCTTTCCTTCTGGAAGAACTTGAGAAGTCCCAAAGCCCTACTGTTTGGAGATGGTGTGGGGGATGGGAGGAATCAAGTTTGAGGGGTTAAAAATGCCATTACTGGGCTGGTCGCAGTGGCACACGCCTGTAATCCCAGTGACTTGGGAGGCTGAGGCAGGATGATCACAAGTTTGCGGTGAGCCTCCACAACTTAGTGAGACTCTGTCTTAGATGGAAATTAAAAAAAAAAAAAAAAAGACTGGGGATACACCTTAGTGTTGAGTGCTTCTCGGTTCAATCTCTAGTACTACAAAGAAAAAAAAACCCCATTAACTGGACATTTTTCTGGAAACCCTTGGTCAGCTTCCTTCAGATGTTGGCTCCTTAAGTCTTGGAGAAGCAAGGCTGTGAATCATCCTGAGATATTTCACACTGCAGGGACACTCACCTGGCATGAGTGATCTGGAGCCGTGTGACTCCAATGTGTGTCTTGGGCTTTTTGCTCCCTTCTCAGCCAGTGACGTGTGTCTGTCCTTCTCCAGACAGCCTTGGGAGTCTGCTGAGGCAGTAATTAAAACATGACGCTGTCCAGTTCCTCTTTCCCGGCCCAGTGTAGTCCCTGTGCCCTCTGCTTTCTGATATCAGTGGCCTACCTTCCTTCCTTTTCAAGTAACTTTTGCTTCCTGCCAGCACTGGTCCAGGATGGCTTCCTGAGAGGGGTGCTTCTCCCTGTGGCCACCTCTAGCCCCTGGCAGTAGAGGAGGAGTCCTGGCTCAAAATTTGTAAACTTTGGGCTGGGGCTGAGGCTCAGTGGTAGTGCACTTGCCCAGCATGTGTGAGGCACTGAGTTTGATTCTCAGCACCACATATAAATAAATAAAACAAAGTTCCATCAACAACTGAAAAAAACAACCAGCAACTTTGTAAACCTTGATCTCAGGTTCCTTCTGCACAACTGTTGCAACCTCTTCTGACCTCTGGTTCAGTTGCTCTGTCTGAAAAAAGGTATGAAGTCTGGCCCTGCCAAGCTTCCTGTGGTTGGCCTGGGCATTGATGGGTGACGGGCTAATGCAGCAATTGCTGCTTGGCTGCTCCTGGCTGGGTTCTGTGGTACTGGGCACAACCTGATCACAGTGTCTTCATCACCAAGGAGTACACAGGAAGGTAGACCAGTCAGTGAGGACAGGTCTCACCCTGGCAGAGGCTTGCCCAGAGCCAGGGAGAGGAGATAGGCGTCAGTGCTTCTGCATGGAGGGCCAGGAAGCAGCATGTCACAGGAACTCAGACCTGCAGTTCTGAAAGGTCTCTGCAGCTGGTGGGGGGTATGGAACATGGAGATTATCAGACAAGTTGGGAATACTTGTAACTGACCAAGTCAGTGGCCAGTTTAGACCCTGGTCTATACCAGTCATGCCAGACTGCCTGGGTGTTTGATTGTACATGGTGCAGAAGAGGGGGTGCAGAGCCTGCTCCAGAATTGTAGAGTCCTGGTGTTTCTGGTGCCCGGTAGTTTCACAGCACCCCTAGGCTAAAGAAAACTTTTATAGTCTGTAGATTGACCGACTCAGACAGCATCACAGTAGACTGTGTATTCTGACTAGTGGTATATTTCCTGGGAACAGCTAAAATGCTCCCGAGGTTTGGTGAGGAGCCTCCTAGCTGCGGGCTGGTGAAGMAGCAGCTCACGCATTAGGAAGCCGACTGCATGACTTAATTACTGTCTTAGGTCAAGGTGACATATTGGGTCAGCAGGTCTGGGCTTGGACATCTGAGTGGCTGGTGGGGACATCAGTGAGGAAGCATGTGACCACTGGGGGACCACATCCCATCTGGGGATGTGGCCATGACCTGAACTGCAGGAGTTTTTTTTTTTTTTTTTCTTAGAGAGAGAGAGAGAGATTTTTTTTTTATATTTATTTTTTAGTTTTCGGTGGATACAACATCTTTATTTTTTTTATGTGGTGCTGAGGATCTAACCCAGTGCCCTGCACATGCCAGGCAAGTGCGCTACCGCTTGAGCCACATCCCCAGCCCAGGAGATTTTCTTCATTGGCATTGCCTCACTGGTCCTCATCTTGCTGTGCTGATGAGATGTCGGGTCTAGTGACTGGATCTCATTAGCATGTTCCCAGGGCCACATACAGATCTTCTGTCATCACATGAGCCCCCATACCAAAAACATGGGTCTCTGCCCCGACCAGTCATGCTTCCCACCTTGTGCCAAATCTGGACACAAGAGTGCCTCCTGGCAGCTGGCCTGCTGTGCCACAGTGCTGGGTATGGCATAACTGCTACGCTTAATACCATGCTGAGCAGACTCGAATCCCGTTGGACCTGTGTGCAGGGGACAGATGGGCTAGCCTGGGACCTCTGTGGAGGAGGGGCTACCATAGGGTGTGGGAAGGGTCCAGTGTGAACCCTCACTTCCAGAAGCTCTCTGATGGTAACCTTGGGGAGATGGTGTGCCCAAAGGTCAACAGGTGGAGGGAGAATTGGAGCTGGTGTTTTGGGGTACCATCCTATTTTCTTTTCTGCAGATGGGCAAGGTGTGGGATGATCTGAAGCCGAAGCTCAGTTGCCTCTTCGCTGGACCACACAATGCGTTGACGCCACCACGGTCTCCGCAGGACGGCGTGTGTCCTCACTAGTGCCTGAGGCTGCGGCACAGTTCCCTGCGGCCTCACTAAAGCGTCTTTCCAAATGGTGTTTCTGGCCAATTCCCTTCAGGTGGCCACTGCCGCCCGTGGTGCCCTGGTGGGTGAAAGGGAACATCCATCTGAGCCCATGGGTGTGGCTGGTGGTTTTTCTCTTCCCTGGGTGGGAGGTCTGTGCCCCCCGACCCCTGCCCATCCTGCCCTGTGGCTGCTAGCCCGGTGCTGAGAATTCGGGTTCCTCATGACACCCAGGGCCAGGGTTGCTGAGGCTCATTTCCACACAGAAGATAATTCCTGGAGGAGTGTGGAGGAGGCTCTAGGTGCTAAAATAGTCCAGAGGGCTGGCCTGGGGCAGGGCTCAGCTGAGCAGGGCAGAAGGGAGGATAGGACTGCCCCATGACCAGGAAACCTTTGGGTGAGCAAATGGCCAGTCTGTCAGAGGTCAGAACGTTGACCAGGGTCTGCAGACATTCCAGCCTGGATGCCTGCTGGTGTAGGTTGCTGGACGTAGTGTTTGATGTTCTAGGGGACAGCTGAGGCCTGGTGTGGGGTCAGGTGTCCCTAAGCTGCCCCCTCCACATGGGTACACTGTGATCCTGAGTATAAGACAAAGGCACATTGAGAGCTTTGGAGATGAATGTGGAGGTTTCTGTCTGAGGGCTAGAAATTGGTCTGTCCTTTTCCTTGTTTGGGGGCAGCCAGTGTTGGAATCCATGTTGTAGGGCTCTGAGGCTTTAGGGGTGGGCAGGGACAGGTGTAGGGGAATGTGTTGCCTTCAGCTGGGGTGTTGGGGGGAGCATCCATGTGAGTGCACTTAATCCCTTTTAAAACCATTTCCTTCTTTTGGGCAACTGCAACCCCTCCAGCCCTGCTCTCCCAGGAGACTGGCCGGCTGAGGCCACTTTTCTCTTCAGGCTGAAGAAAGCCACTCTCTGGGTCAGACCTGGATTGCTGCTGCTCACACCCCTTCTGTGGTGAACAGGGAGCCACCTTTGAGCTCCCTGTTTTAGTAACCCAGGGAGAGAAGCGGAAGAGGGTCTGGTGGTCTATAGAACTTTTGAAATTCCTTCCAGGGATGCCTCTTAGATACTGAGGGGCAGGACTTGACCTCCTTGGACGTCCATGCAGCTTGCAGGCCTGCAACAGGGAGCCCCAGCACACTGCATACCCTGAGGGTGGGAAGTTATTCTACCTGTGCCAGAGGACATAGTGCTGTGATTGGTGGCAGTGAGGATTTGACTTTATCCCTGCTTCCCTGTAACCTCCCTCTATGGAAACAAGTCTTGGTTGCTGTGTGGACCTGTGTCACTTGCAGGACTTATTCTCGGCACCAAGACACTTGAGCTGTAACACCTGGCCCTGTTTGTGCTGAGCAGGCCACAAGGCCTATTCTGTTCTGTCCCAATTTGGGAGCCTGGCCTGTCTCGTTGTGGGACCAAAGTCTACGGGGAATTGTGGGCATGGGGCTGGGGGCCCGGGTCTCTAGACTGGGCAAGACTGCACTCCTCAAGTAGCCATTGGGACTTCTGGCCCCAAGCCTTCAGGATGGACTGTTCTGAAAAGAGCTTCACTGCCAGGGACCCTGGGATGAGTGAGTCCTGGTCACATTCCTGGTGTCTCCTGCTATGGAAGGAGGTCTCAGGGTCCTTATATTGTGTTATGGAAATATGGGCCTAGGGGAGGATAGCCTGTCTGCTCTCTTCAGTGCCTATGGCTCAGGAGCCAGGGTGTGGGGCTCTTCCTGCATGGCTGACAGTTCAGTTTGGATGGAGTTCCCTTCCTTCACCTCTCCCACCCAAGGGGAAGATCAGTGGGGTGAGTGGTATTTGCTAGACAGCAGAGGCCACTGTTTCTCACACTGTCACTTCCTGGTCCTGGGCAGAAGTGCTCCCATCTGGGGCAGGATTTGCTACTCCCAGCTCTGGGGTGGAGTCCCTGTGGTGGCAAGGGACCAAGGGTCCCTCCATCCTTCCCTAGCTGTCCTGCTGCCTCAACCTGCGTGCCACGCCGTGGCCATGCCTGGTCTGGTGGAAGGATGGCTGGGTGTAATCCTGGGCAAGGGAGGCTGAGTGGGATCTTGGCTACCACCTTCAGTTTGGACAGCCTGCGTGGCCAGCGGGAAGGCGACTGCAGAGCAGGAGCAAGTAGAACGTTCTGTCAGGTCCACCCTGCTCCATCCAGGGCACTCAGTGACAAGGGGCTAGGCTGCCCAGGCCATGCAGGAAGGGAAGACGGGCTGTAGGTCGCCACGGGGACACCTGGGACTCTGAGCCCATGAATTCAGGATTGTTCTTGGTGTCCAGGTCTTTTTCTTGTGCTTTGCGTGAGCCGGTCCTATGTATGAAGCACTTTACTAGCTGCAGGAATCAGTTACTACTACACCCAATAAACTGGAACTGTTTACAGGTGACCTGTGTTTTGTGGTTTTATCAACAAACCTGAATAGTTGCTCAATGTGTCTGAAAGTCCTAGTGCTTTGTGCAGTGGTGATCCAACTCTCCTTCCTGGTGGTCCTAAAGGAGAAAGCAAATGGCCTACCCTCCCAGAGCAGTGACTGCCCGTGGCCTGCAYGCTGAGTAGCTGCCAGGCCCTCCTTTGTCCCTGTCTCCTCTGCCTAGCATGGTGGAAGTGGCCCAAGGGGACTGTTCAAAGGTGAAGCCCTTTATTTTGCTTACCAAACAGAAAAAATAAGCCCAACTCTTGGTGCCACGAATGTGGCTGAACTGGCAGCTCCAGCTTGGTGCTAGATTTCTTCTACCTCGTGCAGTGAGTAGTCCACGATGGTGTCCTGACCCTGGAACTTGAAGTACCCCTGGAACTTCTTCTTTTGAAGCAGGAGTGGGAACCAGTACCTGTCGTCAGGCCACATGTCACCAAAGGGGATCTGGTCCAGTTGGAACCACTGAGGGCGCATTTCTGTACCGAGGGGCAGAGAGGAAGAGCACCAGTGTCAAGGCAGGGCTGGTCTGGCCTGTGAGGAGCTACCTGCACTACTTATTTTTGTGGTGCTGGGAACTGAACCCAGGGGCACTCTACCGCTGACCACGTCCCTGGCCCTTCTTTTTTTTTAATATTTATTTTTTAGTTGTAGTTGGACACAATATCCTCATTTCACTTATTTATTTTTATGTGGTGCTGAGTATCAAACTCAGGGTCTTGCACATGCAAGGCGAGCGCTCTACCGCTGAGTCACAATCTCAGCCCCTTACTTTTTATTTTGAGGCAATCTCTCACTATGTTGCCCAGCTGTCCTTGAACTTGTCATTGTCCTGCCTCAGTCTCCCAAATTGCTGATTAAGTCATGCTCCACCGCCTCCAGCTTGCACAGCAGTGCTGTGAGGAATTTAATTTACTTTTATACTTAATCCTCATGACTGTTCTTCCTCTTTTATGGATCAGGAAAAAGGGGTTCAGAGCTGCAGCCTGCTGAGCTGTGGTGCCTGAGTAGCCAGGGTTCTAAGGCACAGACTGTTTAGTGCCTCCCTGTGAGATGGGGACGGTGGGCGGGCCTGAGGCCCACATCTGGCTGCGCTTTCTCCTAGCCAACTGTGTGGAACTGGATGTGCTTCCTCCCCTTCTGTGGTGGGGAGCGGATACCCCAAGGCTCACCGTCGCTCTCCTGGGGCGTCCCCTGCACACTGTCAGTACAGAAGATGTGCACATCCATCAGCTCGGGGGTGCCCACGAACTCAAACTCAATGTGGCCCACCTTGTACAGCGTGTTCACTGTCAGACCACTCTCCTCCTGCAGCTCCCTGTAGGCAGAGGAGACAGGAGGAGAATGGAGCGTCATAGCACGATGACCACAGGCCAAAGGGGAGCCCAGAGGTGGGGTGCATGGGCTGCAGACCCCAGGAGGCTGCCATCAGGTGTTAATAGTCCAAACCTGGCCCAACCTTGGAATTAACTTGAACTTGAAAAAATTTGGGATTTGTGGCACCTGCCTGTSGTCCCACAGTCTCAGGAAGTTGACACAAGAGGATCACCTGTGCCTGGGAGTTAACAGACCAGCCTGGGCAACATGATGATATCCCATCTCAAAAACCAACAATGAAAATCCCCTGGAATTTGGTTCAGAGGCTCTTGGGAGGGTCTGGCCAGTCCTCTGCAGAGGACCACCCAGGGTATGAGTCTCATGAGTGGATTACAGGGCAGAAGTTTGTCCTCCCCTAAGCCCACACTTCCCCTTTCCTCAGACTCAGTCCATTCCCTCTTCTGCGTTGGAACTTCGGACCCTGCTGCATGGGCATGAGGACACAGATGCCCCTTGGCTCTGGGCCTTCTCCTAAGAATGTGCTTCCAGCCTCACACCCTTACTGAGACCACAGGACCATAGGCCATAGTCTCTCCTGAAGGAGCGGTTGTCACGTTCAGTTCTGCCATGGAGCCAACTCCTCTGGGCAGATCCTACAGGACAAATCTCTTGGCTTGTGTTCTGGGGCCTTTGTATTGCCTTCTCAGGACACTTTCCCAGCAGCTCAGCCAGCTGTGCCTGGAGGTGTGAGGAGCTCATCTAACATGGAACAAGTCTCTGTTCCACTGGACAGAACCTGAATGCTTCCCCTGAGGGTCTGGTGCTGCTGCTAATTTAAAAGTATTTTAAAACCACCTGTCTACCCTACACAGTCCTGGAAATGGAAGACTCATGAACCTAACACCCAGCAAGACTTGTGTTGCTGTTTCAGGGACTTCCCTTGAGTCTCTCCCTATATATTCTGGAACCGAGCAGAGTTAAAGTCTACCTTGCACTTTCCACCCAGCAAGCAAGGAGCATGTAATAGTCTGCCCTAGAGGAGCCTGTCTAGTTTTTCAATTGCTGCTGTTACAGAAGAGTAAACATTTGCGTTCAACTTTGGGTCATTATGGAAAATGCTGTGCTGAGCACCTAGGTCTGCACACCTTGTACCATCAACGTGTACCCAAGTGCACACAGTGCTCATGCCCTCCAGCAGACACTCCCTAAGACCTGCTTTGTGCTTGGGATCCTTAGGACATACAAAGCTGTGAGTTCCACTGGCCTTTCTTCCCACGGCCCTGGAGTTACTTTTGTTTCTATAACAGTAGTCTGACCATTTATAGCTGGAAGAAAATCTTAGCTTTGATCTCCAAGTTGTGCTGGGAACACACTGCCATCTGTAGTAGGCAGTCAGGGACCCACTCTGTTCATTTGCAAACACATACACATTAGGTTAAGTGGTCCTCTGCTGCTCCTGAAAAGACACTGCCTTTTGCTGCCAATTCATATACACAGTCCAGAAATTGACATATTCATTGAGATGGTTAATTAAAACTGGACTGGATCTTTAAAAAATGAGTGTTTTCACTTGGGGTGTGTGCACAGCGGCTCCCCAATTAAATATAATGGAGCTGCAACAGGGCCTCACCCACCTCTCTGGCAGCAGACTGCCAGTTCTCCCTTTAAAAAGCATCACCGGCTGATGTAATGTTTTGACTGATTTTGGTTAATCCTCCCCCAGTCTGTGGCAGTGCATGCAGTATCAGTAATCCTGGTGACAGAGCTGGAGCTCCATTTCACAAGCTGAGATAATTAGACAGATGAAGACGACCCTGTTAGTTTTGCTAAAGAGTCTGCTTGTGTCTGTGATGCAGACGGCATCCTGGAGAACAGGATGAGCAATGAATTAGACGCAAACACGGAGCAGAAAGTGTGCTCTGTGGTGTGGGAGGTGGAGGTGGAAGGCCCAAGGACTTGGCATTAGTGGTTCCCTGGCTGCTGAGGTGGTGTCATTGGGTGCTGACTAGAAAAACATGGCTCATGGGCTGGGATTGTGGCTCAGCGGTAGAGCACTCGCCTAGCACGGGCGGGACCCCACATAAAAATAAAGGCATTGTGTTGTGTCCATCTACACCTAAAAAATAAATATTAAAAAAAGAAAAACATGGCTTATGTCATACACTACAGCTCAGACCTGAGGCCCAAGGCACTCAAAGTCCCCAGTGCCTGCATGGCCCCCAGGCAGAGGAGGAGGCCCTCGGTGATACTAAATGTGATACTTATGGCTCCCTATCAGGACTGCCACTGTGAGAATGGATAAGTACTCGTGCCTGCCCCCTGTGGGTGAAGAGGGGAACATGTTCCTGGCTCTGGGATACTCCTGAGGGAATAGGACAGGCAGTGTGTGCAGGAAGCACACAGAATGTTTGGGAGAGGCAGCCGCCAGGCACAGAAGTCTTTCAAGGAGCCAGCTCCATTCAAATGCCCAAGTCTCAACCTGCATGGCTCCAGAGCATCCTGACTCTCACATGCATATGAATGTCAGAGGGGCTGTGCACTTTGCTCTCCTGCATGCCCCTCTCACCCCACAGGCAGGGATGGGGCATGAGGGTCTGTCAGATGGTGTCCCTTCCTTTGACTGCATTGTGCATACTGCCTTCTGGGCTGGTGCCCAGAGCTAACCAGGGGCTCTAAGGAACCACATGGTCCACAGGGCTGATGGGTCTAAACTGGGCAGTGTGTGCCCCTTGATGCTGAACCTCTGACCTTAGTCCAAGGGTGAGACTAGTCCCCACCTTAGTGGAGGTCCCTGAAGCATGGAAACCACTCCTATTCTGTGGCCGCAGGGAGGGTGTTCTCTGTAGGAGCCGCTGCCTCCAGAGGCACTGCACACTGCTGTCTATGCCAAGTTAGGGAAAAGCGCTGGGGCAGCTGGGCCCAGGCAAGTTTGGGCAGAGCAGCTCTGGTGCAGCTCCTGGGGCAGGCCCAGAGTGCAAATTATTACGATCCTCTCAGGATTCTAAGACAACCTCCTCCACAGTGACACTGGAGAGTGACCTATCTTAGAGGGTAAGTTGGTCTGAACAATGACACTCACTTATAGTGGGATCAGGATGCCAAGGAACATGGCCATGGGCTTGCAGGCTGGGTCCCCCATTGCTGGGTCCCCCACTACAGGGCCAGCCAGCATCCAGTCAGCTTTGCTAAGTGTGTGCATCTGCCCACCTTCCTGCTGCTTAGGGGAGGCCTGCCCTATGCCAGGACTCCATGTGGTGGAAAGGAAGCTGATGTGGTTTCACATGGCAGTATCTTTCACCTATGACAAAGGTAACGGCAGTGCAAGGGACATGGTCTTTCCAGGAAGGAAGTAAGGTGCTGTCTAGAGAGCTTTGTGGGAAAACCTGTTGTTTTTTAAGCTACAGATGGACATAACACTTATTTATTTATTTAATGTGGTGCTAAGGATCAAACCCAGTGCCTCACACGTGCTGGGCAAGCACTCTACCACTGAGATACAACCCCAGCCCAAAACCCAGTCTTAAACCCTTGCCTAATCATTTGTAAAAACTGAATTCTGCATGGATTGTAGACTTAAGTTTCTAAAATTTTTAGGAGAAAACTTAGATCTGACTGTCTTCCTAGGCTTGGGATAGGCAGATTCCCTCAAAGGATATAAATAATTCTAACCATAAAGAAAATATATGGGGCCTGGTTGTAGCTCAGTGGTAAAGTGCTTGCCTCACATGTGTGAAGCACTGGGTTTGATCCTCAGCATCACGTAAAAATAAAAATAGATACTGTTGTTCACCTACAACTAAATAAGTATTAAAAAAATCTAGAGACTAGTATCAACATTATTAAAAAAAGAATATATGTGAATTGCATTAAAGTGATGAACCTCTGTTTATTAAAATATCATTAAGAATCAAGGGCTGGGGCTATGGCTCAGTGATAGAATGCTTGTCTTGCATAGTTGAGGCATTGGGTTGGATCCTCAGCACCACATAAAAATAAATAAAATGGAGGTATTGAGTCCATCTACAACTAAAAATATTTTAAAAAATAATTAAGGAGCAAGYTACAGAGTAGAGGATATTGGCAACACACCCAGCTGACAACTGACACCCAAAGTACAGAATGAAGTTGGGTGTAGTGGCCACACCTGCCACCCCAGCTACTTGGGAGGCTGAAGCAGGGGAATTACAAGTTTGAGGCCAGTAAGGGAACTTAGTGAGACCCTGTTTCAAAATAAAAAAAGGGCTGGGGATGTAGTTCAGTGGTAGAGCACACTGGGTTTAATACACTACCAAAAAAATAGTGTATAATGAACTGAAAATCAAGAAAAAAGCAACCCGATTAAAGAAGAGCAGAAGGCCTGAGTAGTCCCTGGAGGATGTCAGTGGTGGCAGATGCTCAAAAGGTGCTTAACTTCATCTCTCACCAGTTAAGGGCAAACTAAACCCACAACGGGAGGTCACCACGTTTGCCAGCATGGCTAAAAGAAATACCAAGTGTTGCCGAGGACTCGGGAACCCGAACTCATCCCACCACGTGGGAATTTAATTAGTGCAACTTCTTTGGAAAACTGGCATTGCTATAGCTCCACAGCTAGTTTTCCTCCTGACTAGGTAAGGAGCGAGTCCAGCGGGCACTGGAGGACAAAGGAAGGGGGCTGTTCATGGCAGCACTCCCTGCATAATGGCAGACGCAGTATSTTCAGGTGCTGGAATACCATACAGCAGTGAGAAGGAAGGAACACTGCTACATGTACATGTAATTTTTATTTTTTATTTTTTTTGTGGTGTTGGGGATTGAACCCAAGGCCTTGTGTATGTGAGTTAAGCACTTTACCAACTGAGCTCTATTCCCAGCCCACATACATATAATGTTTGGAAAGAAGCCAGACAATAATAGGGTGCCTTCTAGCTGGATGTGGCTGCGGCAGGAGGATCACAAGTTCAAAGCCAGCCTCAGCAACTTATCGAGGCCCTAAGCAACTTAGCAAAACCCTGTCTCAAAAAGGGCTAGGGATGAGGCTCAGTAGTTGAGTGCCCCTGGATTCAATCCCTGGTAACCGCCCCGCCAAAAAAGAAAAAAAAAAAAAGGGTGCCTCCACTATGTACCTTGTAGTTCAGAACAAGCCCACGTCAGTGGCTATGAGAGTCAAGGTTGCCTTTGTAGGTGGGGATGGGGTAAGGTGTTGGGGGGGGCACACCCCAGGCCTGTTACTAGATCCACGCGTTGATTAAACAGGTGGACCTTCTTCAAGACTCTGCAACTTCCTGTAGAAGTGCATACCTGTAATCCCAGCTCTTTGGGAGCTGAGACAGGAGAACCACAAGTTTGAGACCTTGTCTCAAAATAAACAAATAAAATGGGCTGGGGGTATAGCTCAGTGGTAGACTGTCCTGGGTTCAATTYCCACTACTGAGAAAGAGAAAGTATGCAACTTTCTATATTGGCATCACAAGATAAAAACTTGACTTAATATCATTATATTGTGTGAATGTACAAATATGTAACAACAAATCCCACCACCACATACAACTATAATGCAGCAATAAAAAGATATACGAGACAGCTGGGTGCGGTGGCACACCCTGGAAACCTGGGAAGGCTGAGGCAGGAGGACTGTGAGTTCAAAGCCAGTCTCAGCAACGGTGAGGTGCTAAGCAACTCAGTGAGACACTGTCTCCAAAAAAAATACAAAATAGGGCTGTATCCCTGGTACACTCCCCCCATCCCCCCCAAAACCCAAAAAACAATAACCTTGAAATGTCTTTAATCCTGGCTCCATGGGGTGCTTCTGGGAAGGAGTTGGGAAATGAGTAATTAAATATGATTACAGAGATTGATGCTGGAGAAGAAAACAGGATGAGGTTTATCAACAACTGCAGGGCGGGAGGAGGCGCCTTCCTCGATGTGAAGGCTGAGAAGGGGTCTCCCAGGTGAGGAGGGTGGGCAGCAGCTGGAGGATCTGAGGGACAGTGGGAGCGAGAGGCCAAGCCAGGCTCTGGATGATATAGGGATGGGGGTGGATTTTAAAAGCATTGGGAACCGTTGAAGGTTTTATTATGCGTGAGTGTGTGTGCACGTGCATTTGGACACAGTGTAGGAAAGGCAGAAGCAGACCAGTTAGGACACTGCCGCACCTGCCCAGGTGAGGGGGCTAGTTTGGATACAGCAGTGGGTGGGGCAAGRTACATACAGGACAAATAGCATGCTTCCAGTTCCATCCCACTTCCTTCCCTGCCTCAAAATCCAGTCTGAGGGAGGGCCACCGTCATGAATGGCATAGGGGTCCGGAGTGATWGATTCTTAGGTATCTTTGCCCTGGCTGCAGAAGCCTGGAAACCGCCAAAATGACATTGAATGTGCCAGTTTGGCAGCAGCCTTGGGTCCCAGGTCTAGGCAGGTATACTTTTTTTTTTTTTTTTTTGGTGGGACTACGGGTGCTCTACCACTGAGCAACATCCCCAGGGTTTATTTTGGAACAGGGTCTTGCTAAGATACTTAGGGTCTTGCTAAGTTGCCAAGGCAGGCCTTGAACTTGTAATTCTCCAGCTTTGGCTTCCCACATGGCTGGGGCTATAGTTGTATCCCTGCACATGGCTCATACAGGCCTCTTCAAACTGAGGGCTGTGACCCTGTTGTGCCCTGTGAAATCAAATTAGTATATTGCCACTAGTGATTAAAAAAGATCAATTGTCCATGGATATCATCATCTTAGCTAATATATACACTTGAGTGTGTATGTGCTGTTGCAGTGTAAGACCTTTCTCACTGTGGGTTGAAATTAAAAAAACAAACAAAAAAAAAAAACCCCAAAATTAAAGTTGCTGGGCTTCAGCATCCCAGTCTCTCTCCTCTCCAGAGGCCTCAAATATGTATTTGGGATTTTCTTCTCTCCATTGGCCTTAAGGGTACCAGCTATTTTCAGAACAAGAACATGAGCTAAGCAAGGACATGGGGGGAAAGGAATGCTCATACATTAGTGGTGGGACTGCAAATTGGTGCAACCACTCTGGAAAGCACTATGGAGATTCCTTAGAAAACTTGGAATGGAACCACCTTTGACCCAGCTATCTCACTCCTTGGTTTATACCCAAAGGACTTAAAAACAGCACTATAGTAATGCAGCCACATCAATGTTTATAGGAGCTCAATTCACAAAAGCTAAACTGTGGAAGCAACCTAGATGTCCTTCAATAGATGAATGGATAAAGAAACTGTGGTATATATACACAATGGAATATTACTCAGCATTAAAAGAGAATAAAATTATGGCACTTGCAGGTAAATAGATGGAGTTGGAGAATATCATGCTAAGTGAAGTTAGCCAATCCCCCAAATCCAAAGGCCAAATGTTTTCTCTGATAAGTGGATGCTGATCCATAATGGGGGATGAGGGGCATGGGAAGAATGGAGGAACTTTGTATAGGGCAAAGGGGAGTGTGGGGAGTGGAGAGGTTATGGGGAGAGGAAAGATGGTGGAATGAGATGCACATCATTACTCTAGGCACATGTATTACTGCATGAATGAAGTGACTCTATATCATGTACAACCAGAGAAATAAAAAATTGTGCGCCATCTGTGTACAATGAATTGAAATACATTCTACTGTGATGTATAACTAATTAGAACAGAAAAAAAAAGTGAGCTAAAATGTGTGTAAGGCTTCACAACACTTGCACTGATGATCTCTTAACTTCATCAGTCTTGTATGAATAAGAGCAAAGAGACTGACTTCTAGGGACCATGTGATCTTGGGCAAGCAGCACAAACTCCAGGTTTCAACTCCTTGCCATTGAAGCTGGTCATAGGATTGAGACTGTGTGCAAAAGGTTTTAGATAAAAGCAACTGTCAGCTCCCCTGAAGGAGGAGGAAGACAAGTGGCCGAGGAGCCCTGTGCCCTCATGGGAGGAAGCCAGGACTGTCCAACTCCATCCAAACATCCTGAACAGGGCCGCCATCACCCAGAAGAGCGCACACATTCAGTACACAGACCAGCGGATCTAATGCCTTCCATGCACTTTCTCACTCAGTCTTCCCAACTCTCCTGAAAGGCCAGTACTGTTGTACCTGCTCTAGGTCACAGCTCCCAGCAGTGAAGACGGGGTGTGGCTCTACAGCTTGAATTCTTGTCCCTGAATCTTTCTCACCTCTTGGCCCCATCCTCGATGGTCTCTCCTTCTTGTACTTTGCCCCCGAAGCCATTCCAACGGCCAGCCCCAAAGCCCCGCTTCTTCATGCCCAGAAGAACGCGCTGTGGCTGCAGTACCAGCACCAAGGTATAGAGCCTGGAGGCCACCATGGTCCACTGGGGCTCTGTGAGGAAGGCAAGAAACAGGAGTCAGCTCTCACTCGGGTGTGGACAGGGTGCGGACAAGGCATGTGTGCTACAGTGGTCAGGTGCAAAGGAAATGTCCTTTAGGAGGCAGGAAGAAGAAGTGTGGCAGCAGGTCCAAACCTTTCTTTGAATGAATGATTTTCTGGGTAGAAAGAGGGCTGGCCCTCAGAACCCAGTGATATCAGTGCCAGGCCCTGTGCTTACCAGGGCTGGTCAGAGGAAYGTCACATATTCCCTTCCCCACTTGGCACTCTTAGCTAGAGGACAACAAATTTCAAGGGCTGAGTCCTTACTCCTGGGTCTACTCCAGGAACCCCAAGCTATAGGCACAGGAGGGCAGATCAGCCCCCACCTCCAATACCATGCCATTTATTCAGGGGCTCTTATGCCAGGCTTCAGCCTTGGCCTTTTCATCAGCAGGGGCTCCTTCTAGATTGCTGGGACCTGGCTTCAGTCTCTCTGCAGCAGCAGGCCTCTGGAAAGGAGTGGCCTGGCTGGTCTTCCTTCCTGTGACAGGAGTTTATGTCCTACTTACTCTGCTTTTAGTGTTGTTGTGGTGAGATCTGGCATCCAGAGGACACTGGGAGATACAAGTGCCTTTCCTATTCCAATAGGAGTTTTTGGTTTCAGGGAAACACCTGTTGTTTCTGAGAGGGCCTCTGTGGGAGAAAGGACCCTGGAGAAATTCAGGAGGACTGGGACTAAGTTTCCTTCGGCTCTGTCCCTATTCTGGTCTAGGAACACCTGGCCAGAGCTGGATTCAGAACCAGCTTGGAAGTCATAGTATCTGAGTAAAGGGACTAGGGGCTGTTCATGGGTGGGGCCAGTCAAGCAAGGGAAGTGGGCTTGTGGCTGGGCTTCCCAGGAGGCCAGTATCCTTCATTTTGGCATGGACCTATGCATGAACGAAGGCCTGGCTTCTAAAGCAACTCTGATAATGATAAGCGATGGCAATTCCAGCTATCACTTATTAAGCAATGACTATGTACATCCGTATTTCTGTATCTGTTGGGGATTAGCTCTAGGGACCCTTCAGATAACAAAATCCAAGTATTCTCACACTCCATATGTAGAACAGTATATTTGCTAGCTAGGCCTGGTGGTGCATGCTTGTAATCCCAGGGGTTCAGGAGGCTGAGGCAGGAGGATTGAGAGTTCAAAGCCAGCCTCAGCAAATTGAGGTGCTAAGAAAGTCAGTGAGACCCTGTCTCTAAATAAAATACAAAATAGGGCTGGGGATGTGGCTCAGTTGTCAAGTGCCTGAGTTCAATCCCCAGTAATCCCCTCAAAAAGAACAAAAAACCCCAGTATATTTGCATATAACTATGCACATCCTCCTGCATACTTTATGTCATCTCTGGATGATTTACAATTCCTAGTACAATGTAAATGGTATGTTGTTATACAGTATTCTTTGGAAATTATGGACAAGATAAATCTGTATATATTCAGTAGGGATGCAATTATGTTTTCTGAATATTTTTTTGTCCACTGGTTGAATCATCTGATGCTGAACCCAAGGCTACAGAGATCTGATTATAGTTATTTTCAAAAGCTAAACCTCTTAATAGACCCAACAACTCTATTAAGATTTGAATTCTGCATTTTCAGAAGTGGAAACAAGCTCAGTAAAGCTAAGTTTGATCCAAAGTCAAATAGCAGAGCCATTAACCATCTAGTGTGTCACCATCTAGTGTGTCCACAGCTCCCTAGCAGTAAATCTGAGGAGTCATCAGCGGCTCCCTAATGCCAGAGGCTGTGGAGCTGGAGGTCACCTGTAAATCAGTTTGTTATCATCAGGGCTACAGGGAGACGCACGTGGGGCGCAGGGCTCAGTCTTGCATGAAGTAGGTTTGGCAAATGCTGGTTCCCCAGCCTTCCTTTTMAGAGGCTGTGCGGAGTATTGGATCCCGGACACCGGGTCCTCTCCGCAGCCCATACCTACCGGACCCCTGGGCCCAGTTCACCCCGTCAGGAACCCCATTTCCTTCCTCTAGCGCCCCTGTGTTCTGTCTTGTTCTCTCCTAGTCCCCGCTCTCCTGGCCTCGCCCATCTCTCCGACTCCTGTTCTTCTCATCTTCCCCACTCCTCGTTTCCCGGTGCTCCCGGCTGCCGCCTCCCCACGTTTCTCCCGCTCCCATTCCTTGTAAGCCAATCTTACCTGCGCACCGTTCCCGGACCGAAAAGGCGGGGCCTGGACCGGAAGTGGGACAGTGATTTCCGGTAGTGAGCGGAAGTGGCAGGCTGACTCCCATGGCAGGGTGAGTGGGGAAGAGTGTTCAGTCTTTGCTTACGGGGCGCTTGCTGCATGCGTGCAGGGAGGTGGGAGCCCTTTTCACCCGAAAAGGGGAGCTGGCCCACCCCCGGCCCGGCATTCGGGTCKCCAGGCCGAGCGATGGACCCCAGCCTGGGGCTCCGCAGACTTGAACCCCAGCGCGCGGACTAGAGTACCCGACCTGGGAAGAGGCAGRTAGAGGCTGGAGAGGCAGGTGAAACCACTGCAGCCTCTGAAGGCGTGGCACAGAGCTTCCAAAAAGCAAGGGGGCCTGTGTAGCAAGAGTCTAGCGCATGGGATGGGGTTGGAGAGGTCAGATCCCCAAATCAGGTTGACTCCGGGGTTTGTGGGGGAAACCTCACTTTGTTGGCCCGTGAGACACCACTATCCATCTCTTCCCTGTGCTGAAATTATTTCTGGCACCTTGGATGTGTGTGCCATTTTCCCACGAGATCCCCTAAGCCATTTGAAGCCAGGATTCTTTTTTAAA